ACAAAGGGCGGATCTGGGGGGTAGGGGTGTCAAAGGTTCCTAGGACTGCAGCCGGAAAGGGCAGGGAGAGGCTGTGCAGGGGTGAAAGACATCATGTTGACTGTACAATAGGAAAAGAAATGTACAAATTAACAAAGAGAGGTAACTGCGATGAGAGAGCGAAGGGACTGTGCAGGAGTGAGAGAGACCACATGGACTGCATAATAGGGAGAGAAATGGACAATAAAACAGAGAGGGCTTCTGAGACCCACATGGACTACCAAAGGCTGAGACAAACCGCCGAGCGAGACACAGATTTGCACGGAGAGGCGCCGGGGCCGCTGAACCCATCCACTCTCCAAATTTCCTAGGAAAGGTGAGTCTGCTCGCTAAGCTAGAGGAACCGTTCCACTAGCTCATCCCAGTCAAGGCGTGTTTATGTATTACCCATAATCCACTGGTGTGGGCTGGCAAGGGCTGCCATTGCTGTATGACTCCCGTGATCGTACAGTTCCAGCAGAGCCAAGTAAGGTGTTTTTTCAAGGCTCTTTGGACTGATGCGGCCTGCAGACAGGAGGACTGGGAGAAATGCGTGATAACCTGCCAGCAGGAAGCACAACTGGCTTCCCGCTGGCCTTGGGCACCACCAACCCTGTTCAAGGGATCTGGGGGTGATATTGCTTTGAAAATGTTCCCTCCAACCCTAGTGTCCCCTGTTCCCTACCCGCCGTGTCAAAGGTAAGCGCCAAGAACGGGGTAGGCTGGCACATGTTGAGAGGCCCAGCATTAGCGGCATTGAGGAAGACGAAGGACACTCACCATTAACTGAACGCTGGAACTGGACTTTCTTTTCTGGAAAAACAAGGAGAAGAGATGGGACAGGGAGAGACACAGAGTGAGAAAGGCAGAGAGCAGCACATGGGAGACAGCAGCTCCTGAGCTACCCTTCACAGTCCTTTTGCAGGGGGGAATTTGGGGGTAAATTTGGCACTCCAAGTGAGAAACCGATGCCACTAGCTAAGGTGAAACACAGTGCAGCCAATGCTATGCGAGCTCCCCAACACAGCTCCACCAATGCCTCTCAGCCCTGATCTGCCACAACATCGGCTACTCCAATTCTGGATCCATGCACAGCTCTGCCTGTGCAACTCGGTCCTAGCCTTGCTATTCCAAAACTGAGCCTCTCCGAGCAATGACAGCCAATCATGCCAAATTGTGCAGTGGTTTTGCAGTGTGGACAAACATCCACTAGGAACTAGCACGAGACCACCAAACTCATTCTACTTGTGACTATACAAGGATCTGAAACCAGGGGAGATGCTAGTATTCTAATCCTCTTCACCAACTAAATTTCCCTCTACCCTGATCCTGCATGTGAGCAAGTGGTGGTTATAAACACTGGAATTGCTCAGTTGCAGGTCCTCTATGGAGTAATTTTTACATCCAGGAGTGTGCTACAGAGTGCTTCTTGAACAAACCAAGTCAAAGTGTCCTGGGTATAATTCTAGCACCTAGACTATCTCCTTAAAACACAGCTGAGTTCCTCAAAAGAGAAGACCCTATGTATATACTTTGACTCCTACCCAAGAATGCTCTGGACTCCTTGGAGAAAAAGACCCCTTGAACAGATTCCTGCCTATTACCCCAAAATACTGCTGGGCACCTCCTGCAGATTCTTGGCTTATGCACCCAGCTTCTTTTCACCTTCTATTGGTTTGGAGACTTCTTCAAAGGGATGGGCAAGATGACCTACCACCTTTTCTCTATCTCTAACTTCTAGGATGTACAGCAGGGTTATCAATTCTCTAAGAACACATTCCACTTTGACTTCCATGATGCTAGGAGATGGTAGTGAAGATGGCAGGAACTGGGAATTCCCACAACCGTAAAGGCCAATGCAAAACACATCAGCTGCCATGCCAAGATAACAGGCTTGGTGCCGGCACATTGAATTAGGCATAGACATACCTCCCACTGCCAACGGGGCGGTGGGCAAAAGCTATGCATGCCCCTTGTGAGATAAAGCTCAGTATCCCATCACGATGGGCTGTGTTATAAAGAGCCCTCCAAGTCCACTAATGCTCATTACCACTTGTTCCTCCCTTTGCACCTTAAATGAGTGCAGCCATTTCATGAGGTTCCATCCTACATTAGCACAGCTACCACCACCCTGCTGGCATCACGGGATGTCCTAAATTCGTCTCCCGGCACATATATACATCCTCAAACACGACGGAGGGCTAGATGGTGGCGACCGCTGTACTTAGGGTGAAACCTGATGAGAAAGCCTAGTGACAGCTACCTTGATTCAGGACATAGGAAGATGCCAGGAGGGTCAAGAGCTTTCACTAATTCAGTCTGGGAGACGAGGCAGTCAGGGTAGAAATTTCAGACGGAACATGATGCAACACAAAGCAGTGACCGCATTAATTTAGGACGTACAGTAACAGGATGGGACATGGGGCAGTGATTGCATTCACTTACAATGTAACAGGATGTGACACCACACAGGGCAGTGAATGTATTGTATCCTCCAGGAAAAGGAGGACCAAAATGGCCTCCATGCATTGTGGGTAGGGAAATTCTGGCCGTGTGAAAACTGTTTCATGGGAAAAGAACCTCTGGGGGTTGCAGGTTTCCAAACCCACAGGGCTACACTGCTGGATGTCTGCACTAGCAGGACAGGGGGTAGCAGAAGTCGGAGGAACCCTGCTTCCCAACTATTTGCAAGATAACGTGAGGGCTGCATTAACTCAGGGATGAGACAGTAACTCAGGAATGGTGGATCTGCTGCCTGGGACCAGTGTGCTGTCATGGGACGGTGAACCCAATGGGTTCCCCCAAAGGAGGACACAACCCATCCAGCATCATACCAGACCACATGGCCTGAGTTACAGTGATGTCCATCAAAGAGCCCATGGAGTTTTCAAGACACTGTCCCACTTTTACAGCTAAGTTAAAACCACAAACCAAAGAAATGAACACATCCAGCACGTGCCCTGATTTCTGCAGATTGCCCACAGTCTGTCACGCCAGCTTCGCCCCGGGGCATGTCCGGCTGCCAGCCTGAACATTCCACTCCTCTGTGCCCCGGAGGCTGCTGGGATGGAAGCCATGCCCCTGGGTGAGAACGGTGCCTCCGGGCTGGCCAGGGCAGTAAGGTGTGGGGAATGGTGCTACTGAACGGTCCGTTGGGAAAGAACTAACACCTCTGTTGTTTCAGCAGGAGCTCTTCCTCTGCCCTGCCTCCCACGAAGGTAGCACTTCTCCCATCTTCCCATCAAGTTGTATCATGGCACAGGGGCAGGGAGGAGAGGCTTCCAGCCACCTACCCAGGCTGTCCCTCCTTGGTGCCCAGAAAACGCAGTCATGGCAATCCAAAATCATCCAGAACTCTGCCCCAGGTTCACACGCTCTCCAGAGCTGGATGATAACAGGCCCATGAGACAAGGTTCAGAACTGAAGGATACAAACCTAAGTGACTGATGTGGTACTGGAAATCTAAACCCTTCCATCTTGATGGTTCCTAAGATTGTTTTCCTAACAATCTACCTACAGTTACCCTTGTGCTCTGCTACAGGACCGTGTTCACCCTCGTGGCCACCACAAAACCAACACGAAGAACCTTTATCAAAGCGGTTTCCCACCAGCACAGCCACCTTTGTGAAGTGACAGGTCTAATTCAACACTACCCCTTAGGGTTGGCTAAGGCCCTTTGTTTTCAGTTTTTACTGATTTTTACCAAAACATTCCCAGCTTTTACAAACGCCATTATTTTGTAATTATTTTACCACTTTTCACCCAAATTTTGGACCACTCAAGTATATGAAATTACTGATTACGTTAAGCAAATCCAATGCATTACATTATGCAGATGTGTTTATGTTAATAAAAAGTTAGTCTAAGGGTAAATGTGAGGCTGTCTGTTGAGTAAGGCAATGTAGTGGAAGATACACACACGCATGTTAATATGTGTATACACTGTTAAGATACAATTCATGAAATAAACCACAGCATTAAACTGCTTTTACTTTCAATACTCTTACTTTTCTCTATTTGTTGCTTTACATCTGTCCCCCCATCCCCCAATATTAACCCCGATATTTACCCAGAAAACGTTAACGTTATTTTTTGAACCAATTTTCATCTGTTTTCAAATGTTTTGTAATAAACACCAATAAATTCCCAGCAAATTTTAAACAAACTAAAACCCGAACACGAAGGGCCTTGCCGATGGGCAATCCAACCGAGGAATGCCGCTATACAGGCTTCCCGGTCCATCGCTCTCTCTTTCCATAGCTTTAGAAAGCATCTTTCCGTTTGTCTTACCTGTCCCCCAACCCGTTGCACTGCATCAGCAATGCCTGTGGGGGGGGGGGATTATTTCCCCTGGTGACATTCCTCTGGCAGTGCCAGGGTAGCAGAGGAGAGGCACAGGTTGACAGGTGCCCATGGTACGATCATGGCTCTCCTGGTCTGGGGCCTTACTGTGTCACATCCCACAAGACTAGTGTGCAGGATGTTAACAGAGCGAGTTCTGACCAAGGGCACCCCTACATGTGTTGTGCGGGATCTTCACGTCATGAAGCAGCATCTTCACGTTGCAGCATTACCTCCTGATGGCAGCAGACCAAGACAAAATATTCCTTGGCCTGCAGGTGAATCTCAGGAGTTAGGGGGAGAGGCTGGCAGCAGAGGTAGAATGAGCTGAGCTCATATACAGCATTTCTGTGGTTATAAATGCTATTAACATTGCAGGCGTGGCCTCCTCCAACAGTACCAGAGTGGTAGGAAGCAATTCATTGCCAGAGCTCCTTAGCCCATCCAGCAACTGGGTCACGGGGGGAGGAAGGCCGGCCTGATTCTCCGACCCTCCCAGAATCCTGGGGCCCTGCACAGCTCGTAAGTTAAGCCCCAGAGAGAGGAGGTCCCCATGGCGTCTGATCCCAAGCCCTGGTGAAATCAGTGGAAAGACTCCCAATGACGTCAAGAGATTTTGGACCCCCCTCCCAACCCACCCCACGTGACTGACCATCATATGGGGAGAGAATGGACCCTTGTGACAGATGGGCCTCTTTGGCTGCCCTGCCACAGCCTGTTCTGAGCCCGCAGGCCCGGGCATCAGGCAGATAGGCCTTCCCACAGATCACACGCCCTCCTCTGGGGAGGAAGGATGATGAAGCGCCTCCCCCTCCCCCACCTACACACACCCGAGGCCATTAGAACAGGTGATTAATGGAGAGAGCTGATTTCCACTGGGCTCTCACCCCAGGAGACTGCCCGGCTCTGGAGGCGGGATTGAGCTCGGTAGGTACCACAAGGACATGGGACCCCGTCGCTCACCCTGATGTGGCAGAAGAAACAAAGACCTGGATGGTCCATGCTCTTTTTAAGGTAAAATGGGATTTGTTCTTATTATTTCTAACTCTTGAATTTGGGGCTGGAGGGGGAGGGGTGGGCGGGCTCACCCTGCTGCCCCCTCCCTCTTCCCCCCACCCCTTCCCAGCCCAGTGCCACCCGCTGGGGAAGCGAGAGGAATGGGATTGGCAGGCTGTGAAACTCTCTGCAGAGACCCGGCTCATGCTGCTCATTTATTCATTTGAACACAGGCAGCTCCTTCCAGGTCCTTGTGCTCAGCCTCCCTTGGGTGACCCTGAATTTGCATGGGCTCTCTTGCTAACGAGCGGGGGAGATTCTGGGATGCCTCCGCTTTGAATTACTGCTGCTCGCCCGAACCCTCGGTTCTCCCCACCAGGCGTAAATTGCAAGCCTGGCTTTCCCCTTCCCCTCTTCCTTTCCTGATCCCTTCTCTCTCCCGCCCCCCCATTCGACTCCTCGCCTTTCCCCATCCCTCCTGCCCCCACGGGGAGAGAGTGGGGGGCATGTGGAGAGGGCTGCCGGCAGCTGAGCAGCAGTAAAATCCTCAGGAGGAGGTTAATTTCTGCGTTCTCCTCACATCACCTTCCTGCTGGGGTGTCGGAAGAGTGCATTATTCAAACAGGAGCCTCTGCATCCATCCTCTCCGCCCTCCCATCTGCAAGCTGCCAAGCTTTTCCCTAGAGAGCTTTGCACATTTTACAGTTTTTCCCCTTTGGCTCTCGTTGCAGCTCTGCCGACTGCGGGGGACGGGGGAGGAAGGGCCCTCTGACCTAAAGACAAGGGGATGGTGGCCAAGGAGCCGGGCCAGCAAGGCATGGCTACCAACTTCACTTTCAAAAAGAGGAAGGCCACGGCGGGACCCTCAGCAGAGCCGAATCCACTGCAGCCCCAAGGAGTGGCCCCCGGGGCGCTGTACCGGCCGGGAGGGAGCGCTTACCTTCACGCCGTCATTCTTCTTGTTGCCTCCGCTTTTCCCTCCTGCGGAGACAAGGTAGGAGGTTAGCAGGGCCAGGCAAGGCGCCAAGGCCAACAGAGTGAGGATCAGCAGCATAAGGGAGGATGGAGTCAAACAAAAGGGGCGAGGGAGGGGGGGGGGTCAGGAGTCCTTCCGGATTGGTGCGCTCCAGACCCAGGGCAGAACAGCCCCAGGTGCAGCCTCTCTCCACAGCCCCTTGAGCTGCGAGGTGAACACCTCAACTCCAGCCCTTCCTTCTCCTGCACAGAGACGGAGGCCCTGGCCACTTCTCTCGACGTCAAGCCAGCTCCGCGGAGGAACCTGAGCAACAGGCAGTGTTGGAAACAGCAGAGGCCTGGGCAGAGGGAGAGGTCTCTGGGCAGTTTTCTTCCTGCCGGGACTCAAGGGTCATGCAGCAGTGAGGATCCAGCGTCCTCCACAGCAGTGCATGAGCCTCAGTCCAGCCCCAGGGCTTCCCTTCCTGCCTTTGTCTTGGGGAGCTGAGTATGAAGCTAGAAGCAGTGTGCCGTGGCACTGCCTGCCTCTCTCTCTAATTTTAGCCCCATGCTGCCGGGGTCATGTGCTACGATTCCCTCGACCTGACAGCTGCAGCCCGCATTTTGACGATGATGAAAAGCAGACGGCCTCCCTTGAGCCCACCTATCACCGCAGGCCCCATCCCCCAGGGCCGCTCCGGCGCTCTCCCAGCTCGCCGCCCTTGGCAAACAGATAATGAACTTCCAGCAGCCGCCTGCCCACGCGGAAGGGTCAGATGAGCGTGCTGGGGGGATGAGACCCCGGTGAATTCCTGGGCAGAATGCGGGAAGGGAAGTGACTATGGGGTGTAGCTTTGAACATCCTGGCCTTAAATGCTCAAGGTCAGGCCCTTCGCCCTTAGTAGGGCTTGACAGAATATCCCCCCTGGGTGTTTAACTCTTCCAACCCCGCCACGTACCCCCACAACTGCCACATGTCAGCAAAACCCTAACCACCCCCACGACAAATGCCTGGGGCTGACCCTCACCGCCAGCCGCTGAACAATCCCAATGCCCCTTGCAGGCCCCAGCGGTCCTCGACCTGACCTCCCTCCCAGCTCACCTCCTGCTCCCTCTTACCCACCTGACAAGCACCCTGCTCTGACTGTCTGCAGCTACTTCACAAGCTCCCTGTGCCAACCATCCTCTGTCCAGCTCCTGAGACTTCCCATAAGGCCCTGCCCCACACAGGCGTATCACCCTCCATCCTCTTTCAATCCCACCCGAACAGTGCCCTGTCCCGACCCCCATCGCGCCACCTGTTCAGAGAATCCCACATGCCCAGGCCAGAAGGGACCGTTGTGATCATCTGCTCTGACCTCCGGTACAACCCAGGCCAGAGACCTGCCCCAGAATAGACACTGGCTCCCTCCATTCCTCAGCTGAACTTCTCACAGTTCCTCCACCCTAGACCAGCATCTGGAGTCCTCCTCCCCTCCCCCACAAATTCCCCAGCTCTCCTCCCATGTGCACAATCCCTTTGGCGCCTGCACACCCTCCATCCTCCCTGCCTCTCCCCACCCAGAGGAGCTGGCATCCAGCTAACCCCCTCCCAGGCTTGAGAGGTTCTGGCCCCGATTCACCCTTTGCCCTGCACCTTGTGTCGCATTTACACCGGGGCAGAGTGTACTGGTGCAAACAACGGTACAAGGCGTAGGGAGCTGGAGACTCAGGCCCTCGGACAGGAGGTATGGCAAGCAGCTGGGGCGGGGGCACATTTTGTTAGGACTTTAGAAAAGAAAGTTAAACTTCCTCCTGGCCACTCCCAGCAGCTGCGGAGGCTGGGGGTCAGCATTATGCTCCAGGGGCTTTCACAGCCCACATCATGTTCATACAACTGGGGGGGAGGGATAGCTCAGTGGTTTGAGCATTGGCCTACTAAACCCAGAGCTGTGAGTTTAATCCTTGAGGGGGCCATTTAGGGATCTGGGGCAAAAATCTGTCTGGGGATTGGTCCTGCTTTGAGCCGGGGGTTGGACTAGATGACCTCCTAAGGTCCCTTCCAACCCTGATGGTCTATGAATTGCCAGTTCACAGGCCTTTGTTTAACAAACAAAAAAACAGATTAGCTCCAGGTATGTTTTCAGGGTCTTCCTAGAATACACGTGATTGGTGAGAGCTAATCTGCAATGCTATTTAGATTGTCAAGACTTTTGGGTAGGAACTGTGTCTTTTCAAATTGCCTGTAAAGCCCCAAGCATGCTTTGGATGCTAGGTAGCTAAAAAATGATCAAACAAGAACAATAATAGGTCAGAAAACTCTTTGTGATGCCTACCCACCCGTTAGCAATTTTCCAAAGTTACGTGTCTTTTCAACCGACAATTCTGCTAATAATCAGCTGCAATGTCCTCTGCACTGTCTGAGATGCAAAATGAAGAGGGCCCTTGCCCGGAAGAGCTTCTAGTCTAGCACCGAGAAGTGGTCACCTGCTTTACCGTCACCGATATGTTGTTTTTCTAACAGAGATCTTTTTTTGCTTCATACTGAATGAGTGTGGAACAAACCTGGTCCAGGTCAAAACACACCTGTGGCCACAACAAATCTCACCGACCCCTTTTCTAGGTTGGGTGGGCCCCTGAGGTCAGAGATTCACCCCTCTCTGGAGGACACAGCCAGGTCAGGCCTGCAGCCCTGCACATTAAGTACCAGTTCCCTCCTTTGCCTTTTCCGCTAGGGCTGTGGGCAGGTTGCAACAGGGAGTTGCAGGGGCCTGTGTTGGAGAGGGGATGCTTTCAATGTCAGTTTGAGGGTTGAGGTTCAGACTCGTTGTGAGACATCTCGTTGGGTGCCACACTTAAGAATCATCTGGGAATTCATGATTCCTTTATGTGAGTTCCCACCTGTAGGGTTTGCTTTAAGTCTGCTGAACACCCCACGGGACAGGCGCTTTGAGAGAAGATGCTAGCTAGTTATGTCTGCGCAACCCATAAGAGTAGACAATGGGCTACAAAACCCTCTCCCCGGCGTGTGCTAGCTGTATGAGAACCCCTGGGAGGAAGGGAAGGAGGTGGAGCCTTTGGGCACAGACCAAGACTTCCCAGTAGCTTTAACCCTGCTTGAAATCTGACCACAGGACTCTCCCCTAGAGAGGGAGAGAAGGAAATGCAGAAAAAGAAAGGAGGGAAACAGACAGAGACTCCAGCCTCCGGGGGCTGCTGTGGTCTAGTTCTGACCGTACCTGGACAGCTTCCAAAGGGCCAGACTGCAAGGCAATTTTTCCATGACTCTCTAACACCCTCCCCCACACAGAGAGAAATCTTTTCACTTAGGGCTGCGCTCCAAGACCAGCCTTGCAGGGAAAACAACCTGATAACTCGCATGCCATGATGGGTACAGTGGTGTTCTCCCCCTCACAGCAGGGCCAGCCATTGGCACCCGAGGCCCTTGGGTTTGCAGTTCCCGTCCCAGAGGACCCTCAATGGAAGGGGAACATATTGGGGGCCCTTTACATGATTAGGTTCCACATCTTTGTACTGATGTTTGCAGAGAGGCCCACATGACTTGGGCCAAATCTGCCTCTCATTAGTCACAACCTAGATAGAGGCTGAACCCGGACCTTTCCCGAAAGGCTTTTTCTCTTCCCTTCTGCCCAGAGATGCTGGGAGAGCTCTTCTTGGGGCCCACTCCTGGCATGCCTGAGGGAGGGGTTATTACAGTGACAGGAGCTTTCCCCTCTGGGCTGGATCTGAGCGCCAGCCACTCGCCACAGAGCTGTGAAAAGAGAGACTGCACCTTCTCCGCCCCAGCACCTCCCCAGGATGTGAACACGGCTGCACGTGAACTGCTAGCAGGCAAATGCATATAAAGCCCTTCAGGACCAAATCTCCAGGAACTGTGATTTCCCAAGCCCTCGATTCCACCCCCTCTTGGGCCATACATCTCTCCCCCTTCCCTTCTCCAGGTCACCGTCCCTGCTGCCAGCCTGGTGGTGCATCCCAGAACGACATCCATTAGGAACTCGCAGCACGCGTGGTCAGCTCCCACGGGGATGTGCACGGAGTAAATGCAGAGGGGATGGTCTACGCCAGTCTTTACCAGTAAGGCTTCTGGGTTTGGCTGGCATTTGTGGGTACAAATCAGCTCCCACCTAGCACCCGAAACCCAGGGTATACAATAAATGCAAAGCAACCGAGTAAAGAGAGTGAGGTGCCAAGACAACACCTACCAGAGAAATTCCGGGTTGCCAGCATCGTAGTGAGAATCGCTCCCTGAAATACACAAAAGGCAGAAAGGAAAGAGAGACCGCTCAGGGTCAGGCCCATCTGTTTGTCCTTCTATTCAAAGGTAGCCGGTGGAAAACAGAACCAGCTGGAGCTGGTGGGAGGTTGCACAGGGGCATGAACGTAGTCCAGAGATGATATTAACAGACACAGAAAACAGTCTGTAGAAACAGGTCCTGGGTAGGGGCCCTACAATCCGAGTCTTTGGGTGGTAATGGGAGGGATGGGATGATTTACAACCTTCTTGTGCAGGCAATCTAGAGCTCTCCCCTGGGGCTTTTTATGGGCCATGCAATGGCATCATTTCTCTGGCCCTGTGTTCCAAAGGCACCGGGACCAGACCAGCAGAGAGATTTCCATGGGGAGTTTCTGGGATGTTTCCTTATCTTGAGATTCCTCTGAGAAATTCCCCCCACATCACCTGCCCTTCTGAGATTCTGCCAGAGTGAAAATGGCCAAAACGCCAGGACTCTGCTCACTCCAGTAACACATACTTTTACTTCTCAATAACAGTTTATTCTCCTGTACTTGCCTCCCTGACCACAGTCCCAAGGCTGGCTACTAAACTGCCTATACCTGTGAGATTAAAAGAAGCATCAGACATGCAGGGCCATACTCTGATTTCAGTTTAGTCTGTGTAAATTGTAACAAGTGGAATTACTCCAGATTTAAATGGGTGTAATGGAGGTCAGAATCAGGGCCAATGCTATTAAAGTAACTTCTTATACTAATTACAGCTGGGGGAGACATTTCCATCAAAGCTAAATTTGACCCAAACCAGAAAAAAAGGTACTGCAGAAATGTTTTCCATTTTCCAGTCGACTCTGCTAACTTGTCAGGTCGCATATAATGAGATTTGAGTAAT